AGCCCTACTGGGCACCTAGCACCGTGCTCAGCACTTTACATTTATCCCCCAGCACCCTATGAGGTAAGGCTCATCGTGCCCCCCTATTACACATAAGGAGTGAGGCTTGCCTGGCTGGTGTGGCCCAGTGGCTGAGCTTCGGCCCATGAACCGAGAGATTGCAGCGGTTCAATTCTTGGTCAGGGCACATGCCCGGGTTTCGGGCTCCATCCCCAGTGGGGGGCCTGCAGGAGGCAGCCAATCAATGATTCTCTCTCACCATTGATGTTTCTATCTCTCTCTCCCTCTCCCTTCCTCTCTGAAATCAATAAAAATACATTAAAGAGAAACAAAGCAGAAATGAGGCTCAGAGAGGTGAAGTTACTTGCCTAAAGCCACACAGCCAGGTAAGCATCGTGTTCAGCCTCAACTCACATCGGTCTGACCCCAGAGCCCAGCCTCGCAACCATTTCTCCTTCCCCAAACCGTGGGCCCCCATCCAGCACCCAGGTCTCCGGCCCCCAGCCCCGAACTGGCGTGTGACCTTGGACAAGGACTTCTCCCCTCCACCATGCCCAAGGTCCCTCATCCGTACAGGAGGCCACTGCCCAGGGATGCAAGTCAAGGTCGGTCTTGGACCTGGCAGGACTGTAGAGTCAGCAGCCACCTCATAGCAACCCTTCTCTTGGGCCTGGTCCACCCACCCCATATCCCAACATCAAAGCCAAGGCCCTACAAGGAAGATGCTTCCATTTTACAGATGAAGCAACTGAGGCTCAGAGAGGGCAAGCCCAGAGTCACCAGCCAGCAAATGCAAAGCCAGGGTTTCAAGGGGAGCCTATCTCATACCAGGCTCCTAACCACTGAGACCCAGCCAGTCCCCCCGGGGCGTCCCGAGGAGAAGGGATGGGAAGGGTCACCCCACCTTGCTGTCCACCACCTTGGCCTCCTTGGTCCAGTCCCACACGGAAAGCACGTGGTCGTTGGATTCGTCCACCGCACAGAGCAGGTTGCCCCCATTCTAGGAGAGAGGGGCAAGGTGGGTCAGGATCCATCCCCCCAAACTCCCCCCCCACTGGGGCACTTGCCACTCAGACCTGTTTTAAGATTTTCAAAGGCTCTGGCCCACGTTACGTGAAGCACATGAAAATACACTCCCTATCCAGGAGCCATACCCACGTTTAAAAGGTTTCTATAATTTTCCCTTTGAAATGACTTGTCCCTGAGAAGTGTGTCTAATTTGCCCTCTGTTACAATTTCTCTGCAGTCATCTTGCAGTCAGGAATTCATACGAGACCATCTAATCTCCATTTTCCTATGAAATGCCTTTTATGTATATGAAATTAAACAAGTAATTAACTCGACAAGATGTTTTTTCATATCTTTAGTTAAACAAGGGTTAATTTTGATTTTGCAGGATCTCTCTCTTGCTCTCTCTCTCTCTCTCTCTCTCTCTCACACACACACACACACACACACACACACACACACACACAGGCAATAAAATCGCTTTTTTCCTCCCAAAGCTCTCAACTGTCTCGTTAGGACTCAGAAAACCTGTGAGGCTCTAACCCAAAGCTTCTTAACCTCTCTGTGGGAAGACCGGTTGTTTTTTATTCCCCAATCCATGACGGACCAACACTTTGGTAAAATAATGATAAAAATGTAAAATATGGTTTTAAAAACAACACACCACCATACTTGGACTTGGTGTGGGAATGTCAACTTGCTCTACAAATTCCTAAAGGCTTACTCTCAATTGCTTTACTTATCTTGCCCAGACCCGCCAACACCCATCTGGTTACAACAAGGCCCACCTCCCTGGACACTGGCCTGGAAATGCCTAAAGAATCAGGGCCCTTGGAGAATGAAAGGTGGTGTGAGCAGCAGTGCAACGGCGTTCCCTGATCTACAAGGGATCACGGAGGAGTTTGGTGCAATCAGGACCTACGGGTTCCCTTCATGGAGGCTAACAGAGCAGGTCTGTGAAGTCCCAGAGATGGGTGCCCACCCTGGAGGGCCTGGGTGATTCTCCCAGGAGCAGGGTCTACCCCCGTGGCATCCACCCCCGGGGCCCAGCGGGAAGGTGCTGTGCTGGCTCCAGATTCTGGGGGGGGGGGGGGGCAGGTGAGGGTGGGCGCAGGACTTACCGATTTGGAAAAGCCCACACAGCACACAGCTCTGTCAAACACGCCCAGGCCCAGCACGTGTAAAGTGGAGAGAGAAACTGAGTCCCAGATGCGCACGTGGGGTGGCAGTGGCTGCAGGGAAGAGAGGCCTGTTACCTGGGGCGGCCCAGCTGCCTGCCCCCCACCCCCCCCACCCCGCCCAAGACCCCACCCGTCTCCTGGTCCTGCCCGCTTCACTCCGTTACCTTCCCTTCCTTAGTGGTGCCTGCCACCTGTCCAGTGGCAATGGTGACCATATCAGGGTGGACAGCCAGGCTGAGGAGAGAGAGGACAGATGGACAGGGCTCAGTGGGCGCGAGGGCAGCCAGGACCCCCCCGATAGCATGCCACAGTCGTGATGCCTGGTTATTCATTCTACAGTTGGTTGACTGAGTTGTTTAGTCAATAAACAGTATCAATAAAGAGGTACCCTCTGGGTACCCCAGCTCAGAAGCAAGACCTGGGCCTGTGGTCTCTAATTCAAGTGTCCAAAGCGCTAAGGCCTGTACCACAAATGGCCAGGAGAGGGCACCCACTTAAAGGGCAGCCACTGCCCTGGCCGGTATATGCAGTGGTTAGGGTGCTGGCTAGCATACTGGAGGGTCTCTGGATCTATTCCCGGTCGGGGCATATGCCCAGGGTTGCGAACTCAATCCCCAGTGTGGGGACGCAAGAGGCAGCCAATCAATGATTCTCTCATCACTGGTGTTTCTGTCTCTCTCTCCCTCTCCCTTCCTCTCTGAAATCAATAAAAATAAATAAGTAAATAAGTTGCCCTAACCGGTTTGGCTCAGTGGATGGAGCGTCGGCCTGTGGACTGAAAGGTCCCAGGTTCGATTCCGGCCAAGGGCATGTACCTTGGTTGCGGGCACATCCCCAGTGGGAGGTGTGCAGGAGGCAGCTGATCGATGTTCCTCTCTCATCGATGTTTCTGACTCTCTAGCCCTCTCCCTTCCTCTCTGTAAAAAATGAATAAAAAAAAAAAAAAAAAGTAAATAAGTTAAGTAAAAAGAAAAATAAGTGGCCACACCAAGTAGGTCCAACAGACGGCTGGATTATCTGAGATGCCAGCTAGAAGTTTTCAAAGGAAGTGAAATATCCAGGCATTTGAGAAAATTAGCCAATAATCTGAAATATAACCAATCCACACGTTTCCCCTCTGAATTCAGCCTGCAGGCCACCAAAGGCCCGGCCCCTCCCACCCCACCCCCAATACTGTCCCCAGGAGCATCTCTCTCCAGGCCCCCTCCCAGGCCTCACCATTTGATGTCATCGTTGTGTCCCAGGTAGTGCCGCTGCCTCTGTTCCTCCACGCTGTATAGCACAGCCACGGAGGCCACGAAGTACACGATCTCCCCCGTGGGCAGCAGGTAAAGGTTGGCGCGGCAGTCTCGGCCCCGGTAGCCATAGCTGGAGATGCCCGGGCTGGTTAAGGAGCCTGTTTGGCATTGCGTGTGCCGGCTGACTGCCGAACTCAACCAGGTAATGGGAGGTGGGTTTTCTTGCTTCCAAGCTTCCCCCCCTCGGGGGCTTGAATGATGGTAGGCCCCCAAAATTATGTGTCCACCCAAATATTAACGCCGGAACCTGAGGCTGTGGCCTTACATGGAGAAGGCGTCTTTGTAGGTGTAATTGAGGATTTTAGGATGAGATCAGCTGGGGTGGAAAAGGCCATGTGAATCAACCTCTGAACCAGGAAGTCACTGCTCAAATCCCGGTCAGGGCACATGCCCGGGTCACAGGCTCAATCCCCAATGTGGGGCGAGGATACAGCTGATCAATGATTCTCTCTCGTTGTTGATGTTTCTGTCTCTCTCTCCCTCTCCCTTCCTCTCTGAAATCAATACAAATATATTTTTTTAAAAAGAAAAGGCCCTGTGAAGATAGAGAGATTGGAGTGGTGCAGCTACAAGCCACAGAACTCCTGGGGTTGTCAAACAACAGCCAGCAAAAGCTAGGAGCCAGACGTGGACAAATCCTCCCCAGAGCCTGGGAGGGAGTGGCCCTGCTGACACCTTGCTTTGGGATTTCTGGCCTCCCGAGCTGTGAGCGAAGGGCTTCCTGGTGTTTTAAGCCACCACGTTTGTGGTCATGTATTACAGCAGCCATGGGAAATTAATATAACTTCCTGCCCACCCCTCTCCCCCCACGGGTATGCAGTTAAACCCATTTACGCTAATTCCGCTTCCACCCCGCCTCTTCTCAGAACCTTCCTATGGGTGGGTCCCACCTCACTCAGAATCAAAGTCAAAGTCCTCACAAAAGCCCAGGCACGAGGCCTAACCTGATGTGGGCCCTGATTCCTCATTCCTCTCCCCCTACTCAGCTCCGGTCCCAGGAGCTGTCCTCCCTTCTCACCTCAGCGGCTTTGCCCTTGCTCTTCCCTCTACTGGAGCCCTCCTCCCCTTCAGCTCTCATGGCCCCTCAGTTCCTCCCGCCCTCTGCTCAGCTGTCAGCTCTGGAGGAGGCCTTCCTGCCCCTGCTCTCCGAAACTGCAAACTCATGCACCCTCACTGCCGCCACCCCTCCCCGCTCCATCTCTGGGCCGTGCACTCACCAGCCTCTAATGCTATCTGTTCAATTATCTGCAATTATCTGCCTCCTCGGCTAGAGTCCTCTCTGGGAGGGCAGGGCTGTCTGTCCATTTTGTTCACTGCTGTATCCCCCATGCCCAGATCAGGGCCTGATGCACAGCGGACATCCAGGGGTGGGCAAAAGTAGGTGAATAATAATAAAAAATAAACAATACAATAATTAATGAATAAATAAGAATACAAGAATAAACTGATTCACGTCCGCATCACTATAAACCTACTTTGCCTCCCCCCGCCCCCCATGAATTCAATATCTGCTGAAGGAATGACCAACTCTCCCGTTGAGAACTTCCTGTGGCTCCCCAGGACTCCTAGGAGAAAGCCAAGCCCCTCCTCCCGGCCTGGGTGGCCCCTCCTTGGCTCCAGCAGGGCTCCTGGCCTCCCTGGACTGTTTTTATTTAGAGTTCCTCAACATGCCAAGGTCATTACCACCATCCCCAGGCCGTGGCAGTAGCTTTCCCTTTGCCCAGTACATTCTACCTGCCACCCTTCTTAGCTGTCACCTCCTCCAAGCTGCCCTCAGGCTCATCCTCCGGCACTTCCCCACTTAGTAATTATCTGGTTGACTTGTTAACGGCCCCTGCTCCCCAGTGAGACTGAGTTCCATGGTGGGGCACTCGGGGCTGTTGTTTACTTCTGTAACTCCTCCTCCAAGAAGCCCTCCCTGACCCCCAGGCTGGGGCAGCTGCCCCCTCGGGTTCCCCCCATCCCAGCCTTGCCCACTCTGAGTGGTCACTGTCAAGGAGTCTGTCCCCAGACTGGACTGTGAGCCCAGGAGGGCAGGCAGACACTGTCACAGTGACTACTGGATTCCCAGCCTCTGGCCCCAGAAAATGTTCAGAAAAGATTTTAAAGAATGTCAATATGTATATCCCAACCCCACCGGAACTGCTCCACCTCGTAGCCATTTCTGAGATGGGAAAGGAGACCCATGCTGATGTTTGCTCTCAGCTGCCTCTCATCTGATGCTCTCAAGCTCATCTTGGCATGACAGCTTGGCGTTCCTCGATTCCCATGGATATTTCCGGCTGCCTCGAGGGCAGTCTGGGCTCCAGCATCCCTGCCTCCTCCAGAGCAGACACCAAGGCCAAGAGAAGAAGACAGGGTTGGGTCCCATGGATGCTGATCCCAAGCTCCAGGGGGTTTTTGGGAAGAGCTTGGGGTCCAGAGTCAGAGTTCTTGACTCAGACCTATGTTGACCCCCTAGGACAGGGCTCAGTCCCCTCTCTCAGCCTCAGTTCCCTGATCTGGGAAGTGGTGGTAGGAACTCCCAGCCTGCAGGCCTCAGAGAGCTCTTGGAGGCCACTGGTTGTAAAAATGCTCAATTCCGCCCTAGCTGGTTTGGCTCAGTGGATAGAGCATCAGCCTGCGGACTGAAGGGTCCCGGGTTCGATTCCAGTCAAGGGCACATGCCCAGTCTTTGGGCTTGATCCCCAGTAGGGGGCATGTAAGAGGCAGCCAATCAATGATTCTCTCTCATCATTGATGTTTCTATCTCTCTCTCCCTCTCCCTTTCTCTGTGAAATCAATAAAAATGTATTTTTTTAAAAAAAAATGCTCAATTCCACAAAAGAGAAGGACCATATCATTCAACATATTTATACATCAAATAATTCAGAACAGCCCGGCTGGTGTAGCTCAGTGGTTGAGCATCGACCTACGAACCAAGAGGTCATACAACAGTGCCTGGCATATAAGCGTTCAATAACGATTAGTTGTTATTTGATAATCCCTGTTTATGGGGCACATGTTACAGCTCAGCACCTTTACACTCGCTTCACAGCCCTACGAATCTGAGATCATGAAACCCATTTTTCA